GATTTTTAGTGTAACATTTGATCTTAGCGTAAAGATCAAGGAGCTAGAAGGCTAACATTCCTATCTAAAAACTCAACTTGGTGGACCGCATTCAAGCGACCTACCGCATTGAATTCTTTTGCTTGTTTGGTAAGAAAAATAATAATGGTTAGATGTGTATATACTAGTTAACGTCCATATTTAAATCGAATAGGGTCATACAAATAAGTCAATCGGAAGGTGACACGTCTGTGTATAATATGTAATGTTTTCAGTTGTCGTGGACATTGTGTTTCATTTTCAATTCCGTGTACCGACTTCGAGCCTAGGCGAAGCATATCGTACGATGTCGACAAATCGCTTAATATAATAACACAAAGTTGCTTTCATAATCCAAAAATGATATTTGGTATGTATATGTAAACCACTGATTATAATATCATCACCATTTGGATAATTTATTACGAACACAAAAACATGTAATTTTCGAAAATACTATTACCATATGATGTCTATTTTTGTTATTATTGTCTAGGTCTCAATCACCGAAGATCAAACTAATTTCGAGTTTGTGATTGTTACCATAAATACTATTGAGAAAAACAATCTTCGGTCACAATTATTGCATATCATTGAAACCTATATAAAAAGTTATCAACTTACAAAATGAAATATGAAACAGAAAGGGACCGAATACTAGATTTTTGAAAATCAGTGAATTATTAAATTTCTTACTAATATTCAAATTTAAAAGTAATTGTTTGAAGTTTAATAATATTTTCTGGGGATTTTGTCCCCGGGTTCAAAAAAAAAAAAAATTATTCAAATTTAAAATGCATATTTCACGAAGGATATACTTCTTAATAGGACGAGGCGTTATAGATTTCAATAGAGATCAATTTGTCTTTCTTTTGGTCGAAAGAGATCAATTTGTCTAGTACAATTAAACCCTACTAATATTGTCTTTTTTCTTTGGAAGGGCACCAAAAATATATGGACCATTTAGCTTGATTCATTATTATATTATAGTATTAAACAGTGTTCTAAAACGTGCTAGGCGCTTACTAGGCGGCAGAGGAGGCCTAGCGCCTAACCATATACGAGGAAGTATAGGCGGAGCCTAGACGGATAATTAGTTTTATAGAAAAACAATATATATATATACGTATAAAGATGGATATATATATACAATGAATAAAACATGAACATATTTTATATTTATATATATTTAGAAATTAGAAACTTCAAATATTAAATGTAATAAATTCTTATAAAATAAAAAATGTAATGTTAAATATACATATAATCTTAAAACAAATTAAAAGTCTTCTACAATATATAAAATATAAAAGATATATGTTGTTTCCAAACTTAATTTTAAAATGAATTTAACTAATAAATTGGATATTTAAAGGTTAAAAATAAATATTGATTATGATAAACAACTTTATTTTACAATATAATTAAAAAATGTGATTTTTTTGTTTAGTTTTCATATAGCCGCCAATTATCCGCCTAGGCCGCGTAATCGTCCGTTTAGACCACATAAACGTCCGTCTAAACCGCATAAACATCCGTATTTTCAATAAACGCATAAATCACCGAATAGTCTAAAATCGGGGCACCCGACATCCACGTAGCGCCTGGGCGCCGCATAGACGCCCGCCTAGACCGCGTTTTAGAACACTGGTATTAAAAATCATTAGAGGTGTTTGATTTGCTAACCTACAAGTTTCATTTTATCTCCACGTACACATTTAAACGCGTTCATTAGCACAAGTAGTTGCCAAATCAATTAATAGTGACAATTTAAACCGAAGGTCTATCAAGGACTTCATGTAAATCTATAGCACTTCGATGTACTAATATAATAATGACTCCAAACATGCAAAAAGGAGGGGAATATTTGGGAATTATGTAAAAATGATTTGACGTAGGAAAAAGAGACGTTGGAAATCAGAGCTCTAACGTTCAAATTTAGAAGATCAGATAGGACAATTGCACATGGCCCCATTGTATATTATTCATTTCACGACGAGAGGCCCTATAACAATCTACATGAATTGATTTTCTAAGTAAAGATTCCTACTAGTATTAACCAAAATATGTATAAAGTTAAACTAATAAGTTGATGCATCACATCACCGATTAATTTACTCCTCCGACCGGCTTACATTTTTTTTTTGTCACACATTTAGCCACTTTAACGGATATATATAGCTGTTTTCAACAATTACTTATTGATACGATTTTTCTATAACCATTAATTACTAGTATGGTTAATTTGACTCAGTGCCCAATAAGTAGTAAACATATTGACTGAGTCTAGTTTAACGGTTCGTAATGGTTTTTATTAACGCTGCAGTCGCGAAACAGTTTACCTAGGTGTAAGGTGAGTAGGTGTAAACAGATATAAAGGTAGACCCAATTGATTTGATCGGTGTTAGGATTTTTTTTTTCTCAATCAATTTCTATGAGATTTGTATTACTATTGGCATCTAATTATTTATTTAAATATAATTATCTACATTTGTATATATCTACAAATTTTTCATAATCTCTTATAAGAACAGATTTAAATCTATTTTTCCGTTTCTAAAACTTGAATCTGGCACCATTATCATATCAATATCGATCGCAAAGTCCGATCAGCCAGTAAAATTAAGAAAATAATTACCTCAGAAGCTATAACTTTTTTTACTTACTTATCGCTCTGAATTTTCTCTTGTTA